AGGAAAGTGGGGGTGGGGGTGGTAACTGCAGGAGAAAACTCCTTAATGTAGGTAAGAAGTTATGTCATCCAGTGCACACAAGCGACAGGGTTAGGAAAGAGTGATTTCATTTCGATAAATGACAATTACTTTTTCTTTTAGCTAAGAGACTGAGAATCTGAACTAGACTAGAAAGGAGGAGCTAGATATGTAAGGAGTAAGCACGTAGGATCAACATACTTTAGTCCTGAATAGAGGAAGTGCTTCTGGAACAGGGATTCTCAAACCTGAGCATGGATCAAAATCACTGTGGGCCCAGTCCAGGGAATTCTGATTCAGCAGGTCCCAGACTGGATCTGAGAACGGGCATTTGCAACAAGTTCTCAGGGGATGTTGATGCTCTTGGTGCCTGTTTCTTAGGATGACGTGGAAACCTGCAGCATCAGCATCCTCTTGAAGCTTAAGAAATGCAGAATGTCTGGCTCCACTTCAGACCAATTGGATCAGATTCTGCATTTTAACAGGTGATTTATTTGCATGTTTAAGTTTGAGAGTCATTCTTCCAAAACAGAGTTTTTCAGCCTTGTCCCCCAGTGATTCCAACATGCAGCTATGATTGAGAACTGACTTAGGGTGACTCCAAGTTACATTGCCTGCTTGAAGCGAATGCAAGTATCATTACAAAAAGAAAGAATTCATGAGATGGAGCAGGTGTGTCGAGGTTGACAGAGTTCAATTTTTGACACGTTATATTTGAAGATCCCTTTGGACATGGATGAAGCTATTCAGTTGAGTATTTAGATCTGGAGGCTGGGAGAGAGACAGAAGACTGAGATTGGGATCTGAGTGTCTCAACATGGAAGTTACAGTTGAAGTTAGGGGTATTGAGGACACCAGCTCAAGAAAATTAGAAAAATAATAAACAAGGAAGGCAAATTACCAAAGGTAGAAGACAAGGGGCCAGCAAAGGAGATGGGAAGAGTGATGTGAAAGGTGTGAACACGAGCAGGAGTCAGCAGGACAGGGAAGCTAAGTCTAGAAAGAAGTGATGTTTTTTGTCTCCGAAAGTTCCAGTAAGATAGACTGAGAAGTATCAGTTGTCATTTAGGAGGTCACCAGTGGCCTTGCCATGTGCAGTTTGGGGCAGGAGTAACTGCAAACTCCTGGGGCAGAAGTTTCAGCAGTAAGTAGGAGACAAGGAACTGGCATCATCAGACACTGACCACCTTTTCAAGGAGCTTGGCTGTGCCAAAAAGGACAGAGTGAGTGCTGGAAGGAGATGTGGATGGCAAGTTTTCAACTTGGCAAAGACAAGAATCTTACCATTTGCCATTAAGAAAGGGCCCTTAGTTAATCAAGAAAGTAACTACTGAACCAAGATGTCA